CTGTGCTGAACTAATGAGGGAGAGAGGAAAAACCTACCTCTTAGCCCTATTTCTGAGATAATTATGCCTGATGATGATTTACCAACCACTCCACTGTTCATTTCACGGCAGTCTCTCTTGAAAAGAAACTTAATTAGTCTCTAACCCCTACTTGAAGCTGAGTTTTGTTTTTGCTTTATTTTTTCTCCTTTGGTAGCACAAACTAACTGGCTGGCTCTTCCTTTTCTGAGTGTGGTTGACTCCCAGCGCACAAGCTGTTCTCTGTCAGAGGCGGCTGCGTTTCGGGGCAGGTGAAGTGATGGGGAAAATCCGTCGAGGCATGTGTGGTTTTGTGTGTGCTGGAGGTGTTTGCTTTAAAATAAGTAAACGAACGATGAATTGGCACTTGTAAAGCATTTGGCTTCTTAAAATAGAGTCCAAGCAATTCATCAATAATATGTTTAATTGCATCCTTGTAAAAACGGTGTAACTCTGAAGATGTCCTAAGCACTTGGAAAATTTGGAAACTACCTTCCTTTCAAGCCCCTTAGGGGATAAATTTTCTTCTAAAACTAATTGGAAATAAAAAAGTTTCTTGCTTTCTGGCCCCTCAAGCCTCAATGCATCAGAGCCTACAGCAGGTCGGGGTGTGGGCAGGTCTGTGGCTTCACAGAGGCTTCCCATGACAGCGGCACCAGCACTGGCAAGACACCTCCAGCCACGGTTCCACCGCTCTGGCTTCCCTCCATCAGCACCCCAGCCCCAGCCCAGGCATCTCACTCCCACCTGTAGAGACATGTTCTCTGGCCAGGGCTGGGTGAGCACAAGGGGCAGGAGGAGGTGTGGTGCCCAGGCTTCTGCACCGGAGGGGCAGGTTTCTACCGTTGAACCTCTGGGTTTGTTTAGTTGCGCTCAAGCAGTGAGGAGCCCTTCGGCCAAGGTGTGAGGAGCCTATGAGTAATAAAACAAATGTGACCTTTGTTTCTGCCTCCTTACACCAGAGGATGAGAAGCAACACCCTGACAGGGACACTGAAGCGAAGAGGGGTAGCACGGGGTGAGGTGAAACCTTGGTATGTCCTGCTGCCACGTTGAGACAACTCCAAGAACAGGGTGTAGAAACAAATGAGGCTCACAGGGGTTTTTTTGGTAATCCCTTGGTCATGCTGCCCTGAATCCAACATGACAACTGGTACAAAACACAAAACAATCAAAATGTGACCCAATTCCACATGGGGCAATGCCAAACCAATTCTTAGCCATTGGCTTTTTTTGGCTAGAGATGGAGTAGGACTAGGATAAGCATGGGACATTCATCTGTAAGGCTACTGAAATCCCGTCCCAATCTACAGAAAGAGGGTGTGAATGCTTCAAAGATCAACCAGCCCAATACATGTGAGGGATGTGCAACAGAGTGAATCCTGCTTGAATCCAGGAACTGCTGTGAGCAGGGCTTCCTTTGAAAGCCTGCATGGGGTTGTCACCTGAAATACAAGGGCAGAAGCCAGCTTCTGCAGAAAGGAGCTTCCTTTCTTGGCCCCCACAGTTGTGTTGCAGGTCTCGCAAATCCGTTGTGAGTAAAGCATGAGAGGTCAAAAAAAGCTCCAAAGGCATGGAAATAACAGATCTGTCTGCAACTTGTGGAGAAACAGGGGGAAGCTGGACTACCACTGCTCCTGGGCTCTGACAGGTTCAGCTGGACCCCCATGAGAGTCAGGACTGTTTTGGGGGTGTGAGGGGAGAGGAGAGGGGAGAAGCTGCAGTCTCTGTTGTGAGCAGGGGGTAAGGAAGAGGAAGAAGGATGTGCTTCTGGAGGGACATTTGTGATAGGTTTTTGTGGGAATGGGAACAACAGACACCTTTCCAAAGCTGCTTGGAGCATGGAGCAAAGTCTGTGGTAGTGATAATTGAATATCTGGGACCTAGACAGGTCACGGCTAAATTGTGAGGTGCCTGGGATGTTCACACCAGGTTCATGCAGGCTCCAGGCTGAAATCCCAGGACATGGCCACCTTCTTGTTTGGAAATTTTGGATAACAGTTGCAGCTGAAGCTCCAGTTTCCTCAGGGGTTTTCCTGAAGCCCCAGGAAACTGTATTTGGATCATAAAACTAATCTTAACCAGCCCATGAAGAAGGCTCCTCTACCTCCTAACTGATTTCTGTCCGCAGGCAGGAGCTGCTGGCGCCTGTCTCTCTGGGGACTGGAAGGAGGGCTGCCTACCAGTGTCACACCCGAGGGTGGGTGTGAGTCACTCCTGCACACAGCTTGCCTCTGGCAAGCTGGCCAAGGTTTGCCTCATGCTTCTATAGTTGTGCACCTGCGTCAAGTGCTGTGTAAGTTGCTCTTGCTTAACACAGTTTACCTCTGAGGCATGAGGAGCAGGCAGCAGGGGGAAAGCCCCAGATCTCCCACAGCTTCTCCTCTGGGACGTGTTGGAGGGTCAGCTCTCCAGCTGCCCAGATGTTGTCATGGTTTTGGGGCATTTCCCCAGTTTCTCATTCATGATACTAGACCCTCTATGACAGAGAAGGGGCCAGACAAGGAGCTGCTACATGTGGCACAGGTGAATGAAGTGGACACAGAGAAACAGACTCCTTCAGTGCCGATCACTTGGAGGGAGAGAGAGATTTCTATACTAATAAGGCACTATCATGACACTTGTTCATTTATCGATTTACAGTAAAGGCTCTTTCTTCTGTTTTCCTTTTCCTGGTCTCTCCCTTTCCCCCGGCCATGCAATTCCATTGGACTTAGGTAAGGCACTGGAGAGCCTTAAATCGCCTAGAAGTTTGCCACTCTCCAGTTGATATATGTGTGGTGGTGACCATGTCCAGCTTTCCGCCCAGCTACAGTAGCCTAGGAGATGGGCTTGCCCCAGAAGAAGAGGCTTGCTTTCTCAGACTGGCATGCATGTAGTAATATTTGCCCACAGAGACACAAAAACGAGCTAGGTCCTGCCTGCCAGGGAGGAGAAGAAAGCCAGTTTGTGGGGAGGCAAGCACATGGGCTGGGTGGACAGCCCATGTACAAGGTGTGAGTGCTGTCATTACACTGCAGGGAGGTCTGTAGGAGACCCTACAGAAAGGGAAGGAAAAAGAGGTTCCTGAGATGTTAAGGAAGGGGCTGTGACTTTGTTAATCATGCTTAGTGTAATCTGTCATGCTAGCCAGATGGTACTCTCAGCCAAGTTATCTCCATGGCAGCTGGAGCAGACCTGCTTTTCCACGTAGTAGTCAGAGTTCATGTGCCTGCATTTGAGCAGGGAAGATTTCCTTGCTTTTTGGACTGCCCCCTGACTTGTGATGTCTCTTAGCCAGCCATAACTAAAGGTTTTTTGAAAATCTCTGGAATTTGCAGCATGAAGATCCATGAACCAGTCAGTGGTCTCCACATCTTTCAGATGAGTAGAGGACCAGCGACAGTCTCAGGTTTGGCAGACTCTGCAGTGTTGTATTGCAGACCACATGTAGCCAAACGTTGCCCAGACCCAGATCTGATCAGTGAGGCAGTTTTCTGTGGCCCCTGGGCATGCTGGTTGATCAAAAAGTTTGGATGGAGCTTAAGGTTGACCTCATGAGCCTCCTATTTTTAAGTACAGCTTTAGGTGTATTGGTCTGGCCTCCAACAACCTGGATGGGAATAAAAATGGCTTCTTACACTGGAAATAATGGCCATCCCCACTCATGCTATCATGCAAAAATACTTACCTGCTCTGCTTCTGGTGTAATGGTGAGATCACTGGAGATCTCTCCATGCCTCACCCTCAAACTGCTGCAGAAATGGTGGTAGGAAATTCTGTTTTTCCCTCTGTCATCATTGGAAGTCCTGCCTTCCCTAAAAGGACAGTTGCTGAGGAGGTCAAAGGTGGCATTGTTAGAGAGGTCCCACAATGCTCTACTCCTCAAGAAACTCCCCTTCATTAACAGCTGTGTCTGCTCTTATTTTCCAACAACTTCTTTGAAGAATCCCAGAGTCAGTAACCCCAGCAAGAGAAGGCACTAGTGCAGGTACTCTAGCAGAAGAGGGGTGTTCAAGCTGCTTTTCCTGTTGTCTGATCAAGTTGGGCCCACTTCAGCCTTTCTTTCACAGCTTGTATTTTCTTAACCACCCAGCAAATGCAGCTGTCTGGGGGTTGGGGTTTTTTCCCTCACCCTCCCCATGTACACACGCTCTCTGTGCCTTTGAAAGAAGGGCTTCATTGGTGCTGGCATCTGGGCTTGTTTCTCCAGGAGGTCTCACACTTTTGACTACTGCCCTTATTCTGCTCTCCCTGGAAAGGGATGAATCTGATGGGAGGCTCCTGGCCCCAGCCAGCAGGATATAGCGCTCTCAAGAATTTGGTGGGAATGCTACTTGGCCCAGCTCCTGTGAGCCAGCTGCAGCCTGAGCAGCTCCCTCCTTCCCCCCTTCCCTCACACCTGACTGGGAATGGGGGGCCCAGCTCCAATTCCTGGCATGGGGGGGAGATGGGTCTACCCTCAGCAAGGTGCTGCCAAGCCATGAGCCATAGGTATGCGTGTGGGATACATCTAAAGCACCATGGTTACCAGTTCAGTCCCATGGCAATGCTGGCCAACATGAAACAGCCAGCGGGGTGGATAGCATACTCTTGGGTAAAGCTGGCTCCTCTAGAAGAGCAGGGAGATGACAACACTGAACTTCTCCCATGTCCATCTGGGTGTAGCTGGTGTTTCTAGCCAGGTCAAAATGCAACACTGTGAACTGAGGTTTGTGTGGGTACTGTTGTGATAATGAAAACTTTACCCAAAAGGGAGCTGAAGACACTGACTGCCCCCAGAGTGGTCCCAGTCTTCTGTAGCTCAAGTGTCAGGGAGAGTTTGAGTTACCATGTTGACACCTGGGGAAGTTTCTCCTCTGAAACTACTATGAGTCAAGGGGTGGGAGGTGCACAGACAGGCTGGCAGGTTCTGTCTATCCTTCTCCTTCTGGGTGAAGCCTATTGTACTGGTCTAACTGAAGACTGTCTTTGGTATTTCTCAGGTTGCATGAAGAATTGAAGATGGCAAAAAGTCATGATGGCATACGCATCTTGCAAGGTCTATTAGTCTTTGGGAATGTGGTCATTGGGGTAAGTGAATTGGGACAAGTATGGGAGGAGGCTTCCTTCCACTATGACACTTCTAAAACAGCAGTTCCCAGACATTAAACCCCTCTTCACATGTGAAGTCCACGTATAAATAGACTAGTAAAGCATGAGAGGAGGGGTAAAGGAGAGCTGTGCTAGCTGATCGGTTGAGTGGCAAGGGGATAGCAAAGGACAGCAGGGACTGATCCACAAGACCAACATGAGTTCTAGGGGAAGAGCCCTTGCTGCTGACCAACATCTTTCCAGCCACCTCCCTCCATATAGTGATGGGAAAGGTTCTGTTAATTCTTTATTAACATTCTTAATTCCTAGACCTGACCTCTCAGGTCTAGGCTGAGTGAGTTTTGCCCTAAATTCTTCTGTGAAGGCACAATACAAGAGATGGTAGAGTTGGGCAGAGGAGGAGTTTGGTAGCTCCTGTTTGGCAGGAAGTTGAATGTAAGGAAAGCAGTCACCATCTTTTTCTGTCTCTGCTGTTTCTTTGGGGAAGCTTGATCTAATGGATTTCCCAAACTTGCGCTTTTCAGATGTGTGGCATTGCCCTGACAGCAGAGTGCATCTTCTTTGTGTCTCATCCCCATGATCTCTACCCTCTGCTAGAAGCCACAGAAAATGATGACATCTATGCTGCTGCTTGGATTGGCATCTTTGTTGGCTTTGCACTCTTTGCTCTGTCTATCCTTGGCATTGTTGGAGTCATTACGTCCAACAAGACCTTGCTGCTAGTGGTAAGTATGGCAAAGTTTGTCTACCCTTTGCTGCCAAACTAAAAAAAATGCTGCCTTAGTTTTCCTGCTCAGCTTGGTAATCACCCACTGAGCAAAGACAGTTTTTATTAGTGATGAGGAGCCTAAGGTTCTTCTTGACCATGGCTGTGATGTCCCACAAGGTGACTCCTGTGGGGACACATGCATGAGAACCTCCCAAACCAGACTGAGAGAATTAATAGTGATAGCCACAATGGAGGTTTAAGCTGACCAGCTTCACCCTGAAGCAATGCAGAAGCACTTGTGCAATCAGATGTAGCCAGGATGTGGTTTAGATCCTTGTTTCTCCCCACCCCTCGCTGCCTTTCAGCTGTCATGTACGATTCAGTTTAGGAGCTGATAAGTAATGACTTCTGTACGAGGCATTAGTATGTGTTAGTGTACCAAATATGGGTGCAATTGAGAACATTAGACATCAGCAGGCAGGCAGAAATTACTGGGGTGGGGACAGAGAGCTTTGGATAAGCCAAGGACAATGTTAAGATGTGAACAAATCTCTGTATGATTTCTTACTTAGTCCTTCAGGTTGATGGTGGTGAAACTTAATTGATGCTTGCATTAAATATGAGTTAAACTGAAAACTCTGGAATAGTCTCTCTCTTGGATTAATATGGGATGTCAGGGTGCCTGTTTTAAACAGCAGATACTTAGAGATGTGAACTCTTGTGCCAGGGAATTTGGTAGCAAACAACTAATGGAAGAGAATTCCCTTACCTCTGAATTTTGGTGTCTTGGCTGAAACCCAAGGCTGTGGTACAGGAGAGAAGAGAGGGTACAAGGGGTAGAAGCTGGGGTAAGAAGAAAACATGCTTTGAATCTGAGAAGAACATTATAAAATGTGGGAGGAGAAATAGAGGCACAAGAACTGTGAAAAGAGTATGGGAAAGGTTAAAGGAGTTGTGCTGAGAAGGAAAGAGAAACAGTGAAATAGACTATGAGAAATGATCCTCAGGATCTGTTTTCATGCAGGATCTTTGCTCACAAAGGAAGAGTGCTGAGGAAATCTGACAATACAAAATCAGAAGGATCTGAACAACACCTTAAATTGCACCTTCTCTTTCCCCAAAGTACAAGCTCTCCTACTAGGAGTGAACAGCTTCTTGCTGAAAAGCTTATAGCTGGCAAGTTGAAGTGGAAGGAGGAGACATGGAACAAGCATAAGTAGCCAATGAGATACAACAAAGAAAAGGACAAATGTTATTGTAGGACGTATCAGTCAAAGCATTTTCCACAGAGGCAGGTTGGTATTAATGCCATGAGGTTCTGATGAAATCTTGTCTGTGAGATGGAGAACAATTCCAGTCATGCACCTTAAACAAAGCAAATTGCAAACTGAAACAAGCACAAGGAAGGGGCTACGTGAATGTTCAGGGGAATGGAGAGGTCTGTGGAGACTAGGACAGACTGGCCTCCTTCGCCTTGAGCAGAGTTTCAGGCTTAATCTTGAAAATACAGAACTGGAAGAGACTACTTAACTGTTTCTCCAAGAGCTAACTCTGCTGTCTTTCTCCCCCAGTATATTATTCTGATGCTGATCACTTATGCATTTGAAATGGCTTCTTGCATCACGGCAGCGACTCACCGAGACTTCGTGAGTACTGCTTTCCTCATGTGTTCTTGTAACCGTGCTGGGACATGTTGCAGTCCTAGGGCACGCAGCTGTCCTGTTCAGTGTAGTAAATGGCCTATGTGGTGGTACAGTGTAAACTCAAAGGACTACTGCTGAGTTAGAATAAGACCCCACAAGGAAAGTCTCCAACATCCTTATTCCAATCGAGGAAATAACTTTCTTCTTTTTAACATAGTTTTGTTATTTTGAACATTTTAAAATGTTTACAACCCTGCAGTTAAGGAAATAATACTGTGGGTTAGTTGAATCATCAATAGAGTGTTTAGTCTTTCACCTTTAGTCTATCATACATGCAGAAGACAAATCTTCAGCATTGTCCCAGTGCTACTAGTGAAGGAAAGCTTATGCGGATTATCGGAGATATTGCCAGCAGGGAAAATGACTTGTGGTGCTTTAGTTCCAAGCAACATATCAAATGTAACCCATGGCTTTTGCACATCTCGTGTGATTTGACAGCTGGTAGGGCCTGCTTAGGAGTCGTCTCAAGATATACATCTTTGTTGCTCCTGCTCCTCAAATCCTGCTCTTTAGTCTCTTGTGTGTAAAACTGGGGGAGATGCAGCATTCCTGTTCGCTAGCAGGACACTGAAACAAGCAAACAAACCCACCACAGATAACATTGTATTTGCTTTACATGGTTGCTTATTTACATAGTTCCTGCATTCTTCTCTGTTTTTTTCTGTTTTGTTTCTTTTTGTGTAGCTCACTCCGAATCTCTTCCTGAAGCAAATGCTGGAGAGGTATCAGAAGTCAGAGACAGAAAATAACAATGACAAACAGATGGCTGAAGGGGTCACAAAGACGTGGGATGAACTCATGCTTCAGGTAATAATAACACTGAAAACTCTTACTAATTACTAAATGCTCTGCAACCCTGGAATTTCAAGTCCTCCTTGGGGCCATTTGGTAATAAAAAGTATGGCATCTGCCTTGAACCTTAAAGAAAGTCCTGCCACACTCCTCATTTTGCTTGTTTATCAGATGGCAGGCTGTCAAAGGCAGGCACTTCAAAAATCTCTCCCATAAAACTGTGGTTAATGCCTAACCAGACATGTGCAGGGCTGTGACCTGTGCCTGTAAAGACCATTCCCCTCTCTCCCCCTGCAGAAGAAGTGCTGCGGGGTGCGGGGGCCCTCCGACTGGCAGGAGTACACGTCTGCCTTCCGCATCACGCACAACGATGCCGACTTCCCTTGGCCGCGCAATTGCTGTGTCATGAATGCCAATGGGTCTCCTGTCAACCTCGATGGCTGCAAGCTTGGAGTCCCCGGCTACTATAACAGCAATGTAAGATCCTCTCTGTTTTTCCCAGTTAACATAAGTTGGTCAAAAGCACCTTGCTGGAAGGAAAGGAAACAGTGAATAGCCATCCTCCTCCACTGAAAGCCACAGGCATTCAAAAGCTTTCTGGAGGAGAAGCAATGCCTATAGGGTCCTGGCTATATTGCTGAACACAGGATAAGTCGTAGTAAAGGCTTTCCAGATGGAAAGTCTCCTAGTGCCACCAGTAAGAAGTGACACCTCCAACATGTAGATGGACAGTAGCTAAACCAAACTAAGCCAAAAGACGAGTGAATATAATATGAGTGAGCAAGTCAGCAGTTTCTCTTCCTCAAGGTAGAACTTTTCAGTAGACCACCTTGTCCTATTCAAACAGAGTTCTGGGTTACGACCATCAACTTCTGTACTAGCAAGCATTTCTAAAAGGCATTCAAACTTCCAAATTTGCCTGCAGCTTTTTAATTCTGGAGGTCAACTCTGTGTTGGCTGTGTTTGGTTGTATACATATACTTGGCAAGTGGATGGCACAGGAAGTTGTCCTTGAAGTGTCTGAGATGGGCCTACTTTGTATTTGGAGCTAGACAGCAGCTATCTCCAAGTTGTTAATAAGTACTGTAGCTCTGGTTTGTCTTCTGGAGACCGTGAGAGCTATCCAAATTGCAATGGGAGAGGACTATGCCACCTCAGTATCTCTCAGAGGTGGATAAGCTTGTCGCCTTGCAATGCAAGCTCAAAGTTGGTTTTGATTCATTCATGGTTGCCTTACAGGGTTGTTATGATGCTATTTCTGGGCCAATGAACACACATGCCTGGGGTGTTGCCTGGTTTGGTTTTGCCATCCTTTGCTGGACTGTGAGTACTGAATATTTGTCTTTATTGCCTCTTCTCTTTTCTTGCTATTCCACACCCAACTGGGTGGAGGTGGATGACAGAACTGATGCATTTAAAATGTCTGTAGATTATAGTTATTCATCCATCACCAATCTGCCTGTAGCCTGTTCCACTAACAGGACTACATTTACAAGTTCCCTCCATTCTGGCTTCCACAGGTGAGGAGGTAGATGGCCTTCCAGCTTGCTGTGGCCTGCTGCCATCTCAGCACTACAACACAGCAAACACAGCTTGCAGATACTTGTTTGTGAAGGGTATTGGATCACCCAAACAGTAATCATGACAGATAATTAAGTTTCTGCTTCGAAGACTTTGTGTGAGTGTTTTAAGTACCCAGGGTTCAGCAGCTTCATGACAGATAATCCCCAGCGAGCCAAGTGAGACAGTTAAATAGTTATGGCTGTACACAACTTCTTCCTTCATTATGAAGCTTCTGTGCAGATAAAAAGCTTTAAGTTTCCTCTACCTAAATGGACTTTGCTACCAAAAATTTCTGTTGCTCTCTCCTACTAGTAGGACTAAATGGGGCTGGGGAAGAGTTGGGGAGAAAGAAATGGGGAGCAGAGAAACTTAGCAGTCTTGTTGTTTCAGTTCTGCGTCCTCCTTGGTACCATGTTCTACTGGAGCAGAATTGAATACTGAAGGCCCAGTGTCCTCAGCGCTGTCCTGAAGCACCGTATGAAACTGCGTTTGTTTGTCTCCTGCTTCATTCTCCTTGTCCCATGGAGGATTTGAAGTTTTCCCACTACCTCTCCCATATATACTTTTGCCCTTCCAAAAACTTGACACACAGAGCTGATGACTCCAGAAAATAATCTACTTGTCCCTTCTTGTCCCCTTGTTCTGAGCCTTAATGCCTCCTGGCTGAGGCATTAAGGCTTGCACAATCCTTCTTTTACTGTGCAAGGAATCCCTGGAACATAAGATAAGAAGTGATCTGATTTGTTCTATTATGACATCAGAAAGGAAAATGTCCATATACACTTGCTCCAGAAAAATCTCTCTCTAAAACTCAGTTGAATGTAAATCGTAATGCTAAAAGCTCCAGCAAGAGCTATGTGAGCACAACTGTAACCTGTGACCAATAAAGACTGATGCTGCAAGGGAGAAGACTGCAGACCTCTCTAATATATTTTATTATTCAACTTCTGTTCCTGGTCTCTGTCATCCCTTGCCTTAGAATAAGGTAGATTCTCTAAGAGTTTAAGTGTGTCAGCAGTAAAGACATGTCTCAGATAAAAAGTCTGTTGCTAGTCAAGCCCAATAAAAGGCTAGCTCACTCCTCAGCAATATGCTGCCTATATTCAAGCCTACCTCCTGTCACTGATGAGACCACTGCATGTGCTCCTACCTTCAGAAGTGCCAGTCCAGAAAAAGCTCCTCTTGCTAACAAGCGACTTCTTCAAAAAGCTGTTATGTACTTCATACAAGACTTCACACGTCTACGGGCTAGAACTTGTGCAGAATACAAGGGGTCCTGTGCTGTAGTTGGCTTTGCAAAAGTGGCTCTCCCACACCCCTAGATTACTACGCTTCTTGCTTCTGCTACCTGCATGTATATGGTCACGTCCCCTGTGTACTCCCTTCCCACATCCCAGATCACGTAGGACAAATAATGGCAATGAGTAACTCTTGTAGAAATGCAAGCAAGGAGCTAACTGAACCAAATCCACTCCTTGCATCAGCAGTTACAGTTCTCACTCAGTTCAATAGAGGCTGTTTACTTAGGCCCAGACTGAGCTGGTGTCTTTCCTAGGAACACTCCAGCAGTTACATATGTCCTGTGAAATAAGCTCCTGTACAGAGCATTTTAAGGTGAAGCCTTTTCCAAAGGTGGTACTGGTTCAGGTCCTGACACTTGCTAGGTGCCTTGATTCCTTGGTTTTGTATATTCACCAAAACACTAATTAAAAAGAAGTGGAAGTGAAATTTTTTTTCTTGTTCAAGATTGTGTGTTTGGGAAGGGTAAATGATAAAGGTCTGTATCTGTGAAATCTGGGGCAGTGCAAAGACAGGCTTTCAAGTCCTGTAAGCCCATTCTGAAGATCTGAGTGCAAAGCAGCATGATGCACGGTGCTACAGAAATTCTGCAGCTGAATAGTCCCTCGCTAGGGTACTGGGGGAGAGAAAGAGACAGCTCCGAGGGTGAACAGCTTGAAGAAGAAACAGGTCCCTGCAACATAGAAGGGTTTTCCTTGGGTAGCCTTCGTGGATAGTTGCACACCTGTGCAAAGGTCTCTTGCTCAAGTTATTTCTCAAACTTAAGTAACTCTGCAAAAGGGTGAAAGGACTGGCTATGGGACTTTCTAGAGACTAGCAATGCCTTCTGCATACAGATGTGGCTGGAGATATGGCCTGTTGGAAACTTTAGGACCAGAGAAGCAGGTAATTTCAAATATTTTTCTTCTCTTGTCGTTTGCTTCAGACCCAGAGGTCTCTTCCTTCCTGCTACATGTAAACGTGGTGTGATAATAGCACTATGCTCGATATAGAGAAAATGCTGCAGGACTTTGCAGGAGAAGAGGAACTGCAGTTACTTTGAAAATACTATTGCAGTATTAACTGCTCCAACCAGTTGCAAGTGATACCACTGACCTCTTGCACAAATGCCAGCTTAAGCCGATTAAGTTTGCGTTCTTCAAATTTGCTTTCTGCTTCTCGAGTCTTTCCCTCATGTGGCACATTATGATTTAAGTTTTACAAAAATAAAAGCTGTGATGAACAAGTGATCTGGGCAATGGTGGATCTATGCAGAAGTGCCAAGCATGAAACAATGCATCCAGAAAAACCCAGCTTTATGCACCTGAACTAAGGGGGAAGAAGAAGACTGGACTGATGGTAGAATAATGTTGAGCAGGCTCATGAAAAATCCTGCACAGCTTTTTCTGGTTTTTCAGCTTCTGAAGGGTGATTCCAATCTCTGCAAGTTCCCTACCTGGGATGCCAGGGGAGGGTGAGGAAGGGATGGAGTCCATGACAGGAATGGTGGTGAACTGGTTCACATGTTGGCTGAGGCTTGTAAAAAAATCCTGTTCATTCTCAGCTGTTTGGATTACTGCCTGAAGGTACGGATGTATGCGGTTTTCAGAGCAGGCAACATGCACAGATATACAAAAACTGCTGAACTAAGACAGGATGAAGAAAAAATTCTCCATGTGGAAGCTGTGTGGTTTGTTTGCAGATTTGCTCTGTGTATTTCTCCTTTGTAGGTGTGAATATTCACAGTTCCCTCCTGGCAAAAAAAAAAGCATGTTTCAATTCTCTGACAGATTTACCAACTGTATTTTTAGATTATTAATTTATTGTAATATTCCCAGCTCTGAGAAATCAGAGTCTTGCTGAGAAACATCCTCTATTCGTACTTGACAGAGCAGCACGGTCTCCAAGCCAACAAGAATCCCAAACCCTCAGCTGCTCCCCTCCTGTACACACACAGACACAACCTGATGTCTTTCACATTCTAAATGTTTGTGGCGGCCAGCACTGAAGGTCTCTGTTCCTCCAGGCAATGTGTGTCACCTTTGTGTACTCTGTGCCATCCCCCCATTTTTCCAGCAGGTTTTCCTACTCATTCCTCCTTTCCCCTCACTACTTCTTCTTCTGCATAACATCTCTTTGCACAGATTCTCTCAGGCCCTATTTCTCCTTACCTCACTGGTTGGTGTATGACGTACAATGCCCACTATGTGCCATGCTTACATCTGGCTACCCACCTCACTGCAAAAACCAGCACCAGGCTGTCTGTGGCATTTGCTCTCCTCTGACTCAGATGATTTATTTATATATGCTCACTGCCCTGGCATCCTAGTTTTTCACATTCCTTAAAACAGGGACTTGTGCCAAGCAAATGTTTATTGGGACCAAGTATGACCTAAAACTAGCTCATAAATGAAGCCTCCTTCTCCCACCCTTGGCAGCCCTGTCCTCTTTGGCAACTGGGGAAAGCCTCTGCAACGTGTGGTATGCTGGGAACCTCCTGCAAGAACTCTCTCTGTAATCTCAGGCATCTATCTTTAAGAGATCCTGCTGCGTGAGGAGTTGAGGATAACTGCTGAGGGTTTATCCTCAACAGGAAAAAAAAGGTGAGGGTTTTTCTGACTGTGTTAACTTGCATGCAAAGTGAAATTCCAGCGTAGGTCAAGGTCACCTGCAGTTCTTGCATGTTCACTAGTTGAGATAAACTCTGCAAGAGAGCTAAGTGGTGGGCAGTGAGCTGCTCTGGCTACCCAGAGCTGTTCCTGACTGTGAGTGAATGCAGGATTCAGGTTTGAAAACCTTCCCTCTCTATTTTTCCCAAGGCAACACTCACCTTTAACAGGGTACTGTGGCTGACAGACACTGGAGAAGGTAAAGCCAACCCACTTCAAATAATCCCTGCAAATAACCAGCCCAGTCTTTTTACATCTCTCTTCTGCCTCCACTGTCTGACCCACAATGTTTAAAGCAAATTATTGCACAATACAAAAAAAAGGACAGTAAAGCAGTTTGTGAGCACCTGTCTTTTCTGATTTAAACTTCTGCCTGACTCTTACAAAGGAGGAGGGAAAGAAGTTAACTGATATTTTTCAAACTGGTTCAACTGTGTCTTATGTCTGGGTTTGGTTTGGTTTGGGTTTTTGGTTTGGGTTTTTTGTTGGTTTTGTTTGGTTTTTTTCCTTCCTTTTCAGGTTTTACTTATCTGAAGACTTCCCTTGTTTAATAACCATCATGTGTGTTATTCTCCTTTCTCCAGCTCTGGTCATTCCCATGTTCCTGTTCCTTGTAGTTCATTCTTAAGCAGCTACTAAGCTTTCTTTGAAACCATTTCCTGTCACTGAATTCAAATATTTCCTGGTCTTTTCAGATAAGGGATTTAAATTATAGAGAGATATGTGCTCCCTGTAGCAGATGTGCTTATGGGAGAAAAGTGCATCACATAATTCCTAGGAATTTTCTAGGTTTGCAAAACGTAGTTCACCTTGCACTGCAGTTTGCAACTAAGACATGAGAAAATAGCTACCCTTTTTTGTTATGGAGTGAACCAGATGTTCTTGTTTTAACACTCATACTGCATTTAACTTCTGGGGGTATCGTGACTTGGCCAGTTCTAATCTTCAGAGCTCCCATTAATTTGTAATCCTTAACTCTGAAACTGTTCATCCTTTACCCTTGTGGTGAGACATGTTCTTTGAAACGTTTGTCCTGCTCACACAGAAAATGAAGTCAGAGATCTCACTGCTTTTCTCTGTCTTGTCCATTATAATCTTGTTCTTTTTGCTGTTGTTCGTGCCTTGTGCCAGCTTGGCCTAAGTCTCCCCCACCAGGCTAAATTTCCTTCCCTGCACTGCCTGCCTTCCCTTTGCTGCCAGTTGACCATTAGCTCCATCCAGTGGGATACCAGCTAGATGTGTCCTGTGTTCCACAGCTGGTGGACTCATATGCTGCAAGAATGATGCACGACACCGGTATCAAGTCTTCTTTGGCACTGGGTTAGATTGTTTCCTGGTTAACAGCCAGTTTGGGAACTTGCTTAACCCCGGTTTTGGCTTAGCTGAAAGTATCCAAGTTGTTATAGCTGTTGCTTCCAGTACAGCCTACACAGATCTATGTTCTGAGTCAGACTTTCAAACTCATAGTGATGGGAAAGTAGGCAAAAGGAATTGGCTGAAATTGTGTTCAAGCACTTCCACGTGTTTAAGCACCCTGATTTAGCGCACAGTCCTGAGTGGAGCATGACCAGGTCTGCCGTGT